ATCTCAGGCTAGGGACTCAGAATACTTGACTCTTGTATCTCTTTTATTCAGTTTTTGTTGCTCTCCCGTGGGAGGCTAAGTCTAAGAGTGCACTGGGCAAATACATGCATTTCTCTTGATAATCTTGATGAAGGATTTGTGGTAGAGAGGGCAATGTTTAAGGCCAACAGAAACCTTGAGCAAATCATTTCCCTTTTTATCATCAAGAAAATGAAAGGAGAAGGTGAGGGGAGGTGGAGGAGGGCATAAGGGGGATAAACGGTGATGGGCAGGGACTTGGGGTGGTGAACGCACAGTGCGGTGTACCGATGATGTGCTGTGGAACTGTGCCCCTGAAACCTGTATACCTTTGTTACCCAGTGTCATCCCAATGCATTGCATAAAAAGGGGGTTAAAAAGAAAAAGAAATTGGAAAGATGAGATCTCTGAAATCTCCGCTTAGCCCCAGGATCACACTGGCAGGTTTACTCCCTCCCCCCAACGTTGTTACCATGCAGAAAAGAACGAATGGTGAAGATAAATGTCCCCCAGCTCTTTCCCTTTTCACCAGAGGCAACCCTTAGTAGATAGGTTACTTATTTTTCCAGCTATTTTCGCTGCAGAGACATTATCTCCTTTGAACCTTTTCATCTCATACGCCTTGGGGAATCTCTAGAAGTTCTTTTACACGTTTTCTTCTGGACCTGTCCCCCGAAGCCTTAGCCTCATTAGCAGACTCTACTGCAGATCCTCTTCCCCCCCCGTCTTTTTTTTTTTTTTTTAAATATATCTTTATTGATTTCAGAGAGAGGAAAGCAGAGGGAGAGAGAGACAGAAACATCCATGATGAGAGAGTCATGGATCGGCTGCCTCCTGCAGGCCCCCGACTGGGGATCGAGCCCGCAGCCCGGGCGTGGGCCCTGACCGGGAAGCGAACCCCGATCGCCTGGGTCCTAGGTGGATGCTCAACCGCTGAGCCCGGCCGGGCCCCACCCCGACTTATCGACTTTTACTTTGGAGAGGTCCCCGACCTCGGTGGTTGCCACAGCAACAAACACTTCACTTTCTGTGGGCGGCCCCTTTGAAGGGACCAGCTGCTCAGCGCGTCTCCCAAACCCGAGCGCCGGGCACATCCCCCGGTTTGAGCCAGCAGCTGGCGGCAGAGCCGGGCGCGCAGTGATGACGTCGGCCGCCGGCGCCCGGGGACGGGGCGGGCTTCCGGGGCTGCCGGCGACTGCTGAGAGCTGCTGTCATGGCGGCCGCTCGGTGGGGCTTCTTCTCCGTCCTGCTGCTGCTGCTGCTAGCAGCGAAAGCCCAAAGCTCGGAGGTCGCCGGGGCCTCTGCCGAGGGGTCGGCAGGGGTTGGGGTCGGCATAGGAGATCGCTTCAAGATTGAGGGGCGTGCTGTTGTTCCAGGAGTGAAGCCTCAGGACTGGATCTCGGCGGCCCGAGTGCTGGTAGACGGAGAGGAGCACGTCGGCTTCCTTAAGTGAGCGTCCCGAGGGCCGCAGGGGAGCGGTGGGGATGGAAGCCGGAGGGGAAGTCCCCCGGGAGAGCTGAGTGTCAAGACCTGAAGACGTCGCTGTCGGAGGGTGGAGGGGCGGGCGCCGCTAGCGGTCTGTACCGGGAGACGCTTTCCCCTTCCCAGCCGAGCAGCTCGGAATGAGGATGGCAGGTGCTTCCCCGAGGCCGGAGCGGGGGTCAGTTACCTTCAACTCCACTTTGGCCCTGTATGGGGACGGCCACCCCTGGGCCCTGGGGACACGTGGACCCCTTATTTGTCTCTTGCTGAATTCTTCCCTTTGCATCTCTTCTGATTTCCCTGAATCTGGCCGTTTTTTGGTTTTTGTTTGTTTTTGTTTTTTTGCATTCATTTCAGTGTTTTTGTAACTTGGTGTTATGTAGAAAGATGCTAAGCAAGTGGGAATTCTGAAAGCCCAAAGGGCTTCTAGTGATGACATAGATTGGGAGGCTGATGCTGCTTCTAAAATTAATAGGCACCGAAATCCCTAAAGCACCCTTTTCACCTGCAGGTGGGATTGCTGTTCTTTTTTTACACTTGGATTCGTGCAGAGATTTGCAACATCACTCTTGGCATTTATGTAAGACTAGGGTTTCTCTGTGTTGCTTACGTGCTTCGTTCCTCTCTAGCGAATAGTAGAAATGGGATTTCAGGCCATATTAAAAGACATGTTGAATTTATTAGCACTCTCATTTTGCAGTAGCCTGCTTTGCGGATGTCTAGACAAGTGTGATGTTTTCAATCTTTCAGTCGTTTCTTGGAAAGTAAAACTGCGAACTGAAAGAAAATATTTAGGAAAGAAAGAGTTTCTCTGGTGAGAAAGTCAGACCACTTAAATGTGGACATAAAATTCTAAACTTGATTTGCAAATATTCAGATAATCCAGATGTTTTTGAATGAGAATTTCAACCTTATATTAATAATAATGACAAGAAGCTTGCAACCATTATTTTAATGCTATTAAAGATCTGGCATTAAGGCATTCTTTGGGTTTACCCTAATTAATGATGTTTTAATGATAAAGCTTTCATTAAACTTTGGAAAGTTAGCCTTCCTTGGCTATTTGGCCTCTCTTTGCTGCAGTATACAGCTTTTTAAAATTAATATGTCTTTATTGATTTCAGAGAGAGGAAGGGAGAGGGAGAGAGAGAGAGAAACATCAATGATAAGAGAGTCATTGATAGGCTGCCTCCTGCACGCCCCCTGCTGGGGACCGAGTGGGAACCTGGACATGTGCCCTGAGTGGAATTGGACCATGATCTCCTGGATCATAGGTCCACCCGCTGAGCCACCCCAGCCCGGCAGTATACAATTCTTTTAAAAAGCATTTATTATTTTTATTTTAAAATAACATCTAAGCAACATGTATTGAAGAAATTATAAATAATAAAGTAGAGCTAACAACCCTTAATATTTTATTGTTTCTTTTCCAGCCTTTTTGGAATCATATGACCTATATATATATTTTAATCCTCACCCAAGAATATTTTTTCCACTGCTTTTCAGAGAGAGTGGAAGGGAGAGAGAAAGACAGAGAGAAAGAGAGGGATAGAAACATCGATGTAAGAGAGAGGTTGCCTCCCGAAGGTGCCCCAACCTAGGCTGGGCATCGAGCCTGCAACCGAGGTTTGTGCCAGTGGCTGGAATCGAACCCAGGGCCCTTCTGCCCGCAGGCTGATTCTCCAACCACTGAGCCAAACCGGCTAGGACATTACCTATATTTTTAATAGTAAAATACAATATATACACTTTGTAACCTGCTTTATTTACTTAATATTTTGTGAGCAGCTCCTGATACTATTTCATGTTTTTCCATTTGTGTGTAGAATGTTTGATTAAGAATTAATATAAGGAGTTTATCCTGGCAAACTTGTTGGAAGAGGGATAAGTAATTTGTCTTGTACCCGTTATGCATAACTGGCATGCAATTTTGATTTCTGTTTATGCTTATTGGAGGTTACGTGGGACTTGGTTAGTGGAGATGAAAGGAGTTTGGCTTGAGGAATTCCCGTGCTACCTTCTCACTTTTATCACTATGTATACAAACCATAATTTGTTTAACCAGTCCTCTGTTTTTGGATATTTAGGTAGTTTTTAATTTTTGACATAGGAAGATTATGTACTGTACTTTTATGAACTTTTTATTATGGGAAATTATAGACGTGAACTAAAATAAGCAGAATAGCTTAATGACCCCTTAGCTACCCATCACAATCTGCTGTTTTGTTTCATGTCTTCTCTATACCTCATTTATTTTTTCTAGACTATTTAAATATGGTCCTAAAGATGATATGACTTCACTCTAAAAAACATCATTTTGTATCTCTAGAAGATAAAGTCTTAAAAAATAACACAATACCATTATTGATTCAACAAAATTAATAATGCTGTAACATCATCTAATAATACCAGTTCATTTTTACGTTTCCCAACTTATTTTAAAAATGCTTTTATGTATTTGTTCTTTCAGATTATCCAACAGGGCATACATGTTGTAGAGTACAGTTTTAAAGCCAAATTTGAAAATTTCATTATAAAATTTATGTTATCTTGCTAAAGTAAAATATTTACCTTAAGGTGAAAAATCTGTTTGCATTTTCTTTAGGCAATTAGTTCTGCTATTATTTTGGTTACAAATAGTCATTAGTTAAATTGTTTGTTTTTTCCTGGACCTAGAAAAATGTTTTAAAATTCATGCAGTTAGGGCCCCATAAAAAAACAGAAGATACACTCAAATTAGATAATTCAAGGAAAGTTTAATGAAAGGATTAAACAGTGTAGTCATGGTGTAGGGAAACCACCAGATTGTGCAGTACCCTGAAGTTTACAACTTCAAGGCTATTACCACCTCTAAGGTGAAGGGAGGAAAGGAAATAAAGGTTACTGGAAGCTAGATAGGAAGAAAGGGACTGCCTTAAGAGGAGCTGTGTGCCTTGACACAGCCAGTCAGAGGTGGCCTCTCTGGGAGTGCACTTCCAGAAAAATACACTAAGCTCATCTTCCCTTTCTCCAGTGTACAGAGAGGAGAATCATGGAGAGTGAATCTGAAGGGCAAATGGACATCTAGCTCAGGAATAAAATTAACTTAATGGTTACATTTCAATTCTGTTTTAGTTTAGTGTGTACTTTAAAGTAGCAAGGAGTACCTTCTCTTATTTTTTTAGTAAATATTGTGAATGTGGCAGGAATCAATTATTCCTTTAACAGTGAAAGAGCCCAATGATAAGAAGCATTATTTAAAAATATTATGATAGCCCAGCCAGCATGATTCATGGTTGAACATCGACCTGTGATCCAGGAGATTGTGGTTCGATTCCCATTCGGCACATGGCCGGGTTGCGGGCTCAAGCCCTAGTAGGNCAGGAGATTGTGGTTCGATTCCCATTCGGCACATGGCCGGGTTGCGGGCTCAAGCCCTAGTAGGGGCGTGCAGGAGGCAGCCGATCAATGACTGTCTCATCATTGATGCTTCTCTCTCTCTCCCCCTCTCCCTTCCTCTCTCTGAAATCAATAAAGATATATTTTTTAAAAATATTATGACACTGGGAATTCTCTGATAAAGTTGCTCCTTTTAGAATCAATCAGTTGTTTTTCTGAAACAGAAACTTCTTTTTCCTCAGAATGGCAGTTTCTCATTATCAAAACAAATTAATTTTGATCTGTGAAATTTGCCCTTAATGGGATGGTTTTCTAAGCCCAGGAAGTTTAGAAGAAATCAGTTAGGAAAAGGTGGATAGTTTTAACTACAAAAACAGAAAGAAAGAAGAACAGCACACTGCAAATTAAAACTAGGGGAAAAAAGCTATTTTAATATAAAAAATTCTTGGAGGTAATTGTCAAAATTGGAACTGCTAATATTGTAGAAAAAATGTATATTGGTAGTTTCCCTTGAATGGAGACATGACTTCAGAATAGGAACTGTGCTATCACCTGTTATCTCCATCCCACAGAGGGAATAGAAGTACTCTCTATGTCAGGGTTCTCTGTTACCGTGGAGTGTTGGGGGTATTTTCAGAACCCATGCAGTGTAATTATGGAAGCTGAAGCATGGGACAGTTCTTGCTAGTTTGGGGGTATTTTTTTTCTTCTGATTACTCTGAATATCATACTTGGGGGATTTGGTTTGGGGGTTAACAGATGATCTAAAGCATCAAAAAAGAATAAACTATTGATCAGAAGTGACTAAATATGATTTTAATTTTTCCAGGACAGATGGGAGTTTTGTGGTTCATGATATACCCTCTGGATCTTATGTAGTGGAAGTTATATCTCCCGCTTACAGGTTTGATCCCATCCGAGTGGATATTACTTCAAAAGGAAAGATGAGGTGAGAGCAATTGATTTAATTTTTACCAAAGTCTGGGCTACCAAATACCTCATATATTACTTTTAGAATTTATAGTTAAGGTTGAAAATTTTCTTATTTAAAACTACAGGTATTCCTTAAAACATTTAAAACATCCTTATATTGTTTTAATCTGAGGATTGATAATATTGTAAAGTTGAACTTTCTTCTGCTCTGGCTTAAAATTTACTTTAAAGCTCCTGATATGATTATATAGAGAAGAGATAAGATTACTTATTATACAACAAAAGCACTGTGAAAGTTATAATTGAAATGTGATTCAAGTTGGAAATAATTTAACATTTCTAAATTGGAAATGTTATTCATCACCTGTTTTCATCAGGATATTTTGACAGTATCTTAGTATATATTTGCTAGTATGTTGCTCTAGAAATTTCTTTAGTTCTTCTTGGAATATTTAATGTGCAGTGGAAATTTAATATTTCTTGGGAAAATAATAGATGACATTGTAAAGTTTATTTCAAAGTGAGGATCATGATAAGAAAAAAAAAAGCACAGCGTTAGAGGCTGGCAGACTAGGAAAAATTTTCAGAATTTCTAAGTAGGTGAACATGTGATTTGAATTTGAGGTGGAAAGAGTTTTGAACTCATTTAGGCTATGAGTGTGGAATACTGCAAACACATTTGCAGTTGGAATCAGTTGTATAGATGTCCACAGTTCAGAGTTAGCCTTCTGTTATAACCCCCAATTTCTTTGTTTATTTTATTCTTGTTTTCTGCCAATAGTATTCTTTTTGCTCTAATCTTACTAGGAAGTATATGAAGCAATTTTGTCTTTTTATTTTTCCTAGCTTTATTGAGGTATTATTAACAAATATGAAACAATTTTAAGTGGTAATGTCTCTTCTTTGAACTACCACAGAATTACTCCATGTTGCTGTAATAAAGCACAAGTCATGCAATGGCAATAATTTTGGGGTTGGAGGAGGTGTGGTTTATTACTGACCTTTTCAGTATGTGCCAAGCTTATTTAGGTTGATATGTAGCTACCCCAAATTGAGCTGATATAGTAAGAGATATGTTCACTTAGTACCATAATATGTACAGTTGAGTTAGTGTTTACTCCTAAAATGTTTTCCTTCTATCTCTGCTTTTTTTTTAATTGCAAGTTTCTAAAGTATAATATGTAAATATGCTGTAACTCAAATAGAATAACACAGAGAGCTATCTTATCCTTTATATCAGCTGCATATTAGTCCATTGATGGATTTGCCATCATTTTTATAACCAGCTCCTACTGATGGACATGTGAGATTTTCTTTCCCTTTTTTAGCATGAACAGAGACAGTTATCCTGTAGTGATTTAAGTTCTTAATGTTATCATGAAACTAATGCCATGATATCACTAAAAATACATTGTTTAGAAACAAATTACTTTCCCCTTTTTTTCAAGTTCAATTCCTGTCTTAGATAATTCTGCTTTGTCCAGATTCTAGTCATATTTCTTGCTGTTGGCTATTCAGAGCAAGGGTGAAGCTTTGAATTGAAGCTAATACCTTGCATATATGTTTATAAATAATCTTTGATGGAATCAGTGATAAATGGATTGCTTCAAAGTACATGAACCTCATTAGGTATTGACTTTCTCATACTTTTTAGAGACATACAGATTTTTGTTTTTTTAATGTACAGGTAAAATTCTAGTATGTAAATCTAAACCATGAAAGACTTATGACTTTATACATTTTGAATTGCAAGCTTGGAGATGGGGATATGTAGAATACATTATACATAATATATAGGTTGAAAAAATTTTTTAATTGCAAACTGAATATTGGAGGGAATAAGACTTGTTAAAAGGGGATATTTGATACTTGTCTTTAAAAATTAAATTTAAAAACTAAATTATTTTTATTTATTCTTTTTACTCTGTTTGAATTTTGAATTTGTAGTCTAAGCAAATAGAAATATTTTTCTAAATATAAAGTTTTATTTGCTTTTTTACCATGGGTAAAGAGTACTTCCTGCTTTAGCATTTAAGGACTGGTTGCAGCAGTGGGATTCATATTCTCAGATCCATTCCCGATGATTGGATGCCTGAAGCATAGGTAAAAAAAACAAGGCCCTTATCATTTTAATAATTGGGGGTGGGGCAGAGTAGAGAACAAAGTGGGATTCATATAAGATCCTAATATTTTTGACCAGTGTTTCATAAGCATACTTGGTAAGTTAGTTTCAAGTATGCGGGACTTCTATTTCTGAAATTTTAGCGGAATGTAAAACCTTAGAAATGCTGGATAAAATATGTATAGCTATTTCTTTTAAATGATTAGCTTGATTCCAAGTCTTGTATTCTTTCCCTACATTTTGCTAAATATTTTAGACATACAGATAAAGCTACTTTGATCAGATTTTCAAGATCAAAAGTTTAGATACCTAAGTATTTTGGAAGAGCTAAAGGTAATTATAAGGCTTTGCTAATATATTGTAGGCAGTTCTAGTAACTAGTAATATTTTTAGTAGAATTGCTGATGCTTTTTTTCATGTTGCTTTATCAGAGCAAGATACGTGAATTACATCAAAACATCAGAAGTGGTCAGACTGCCCTATCCTCTCCAAATGAAATCTTCAGGTCCACCTTCTTACTTTATTAAAAGGGAATCATGGGGCTGGACAGACTTTCTGATGAACCCAATGGTATGTATCAGGTTACAAGAAAGTATCTTTACTAATCTCTAATTTGCTTCTGGGCAGTGAGATAGAAATCTGAAGTTGGATGAAAGGATAATTATGAATAATTTGTGGATTTCAGGAAAATGGTGGCTTGGGAATATATAATGAAAAGAATATAGTGACAATTGCATGGTAGACTTGACTTTGAAATGTGCAACAGAAATTGGATAGATACTTATTTATGTTGAAATGTTTAAAATTCAAATAGAATAAGAATATGTGATAAGTCATACAGGAGCTGTCTCCTTTTTCGTACTACTTGCATATTAATGCATTGATGAATGTGCCATCATTTATTAACCAGCCCTTTATTGATGGCATAAGTAAGTTTTTTTCTTTCCTTTTTTGGCATGTGTAGTGAGCAGAGAACTTATTCTGTGGTAATTTAGGTATTTGGTATTATGAAACTGATATGATGCTCTTCACTAATTAAAAAACACAAATAGAATACATTCTTTAGAAACAAATTGACTTTTTTCCCCCTGTTTTTGAAAGTTGAATTATTATATTAGAATTGTCTAAGTTTTTATCATACTCCTTGCTGATAGATATTTAGATTACAAATAGGAATGTTTGAGGCTGTACATCCTCTAGAGAGGAATAAATCGGTGCCTAGAATCTCCTATCAAGGATCAAGAAGCAGAAGGGTGGAGTGGATAAGAGAATTCAGCAGTGAGACTTTAAAACTTACTGAGAAATATCTTCCATGTTCTAATTTTTAAAAAATATTTTATTTATTGATTAGAGGGGGAGGGAGACATATCAAGACATCGATCTGTTTTTCCACTCATTGATGCATTCATTGGTTGATTCTTTTTTTTTTTTAATATGTTTTTATTGATTTCAGAGAGAGAAAGAGAAACATAAGTGATGAGAGAGTCATTGATCAGCTGCCTCCTGCATGCCCTCTACCAGGGATCGAGCCCGACACCCGGGCATGTGCCCTGACCAGGAATGGAACCATGACCTCCTCATTCATAGGTTGACACTCAACTACTGAGCCATGCCAGCCGGGCCATTGGTTGATTCTTATATGTGCCCTAAGTGGAGATCAAACCCACAACCTTCATGTATTGGGATGAAGCTCCAACCATCTGAGCTACCCGGCCAGGGCCATGTTCTAATTTCTGAAATTCATGGAAGCATATCCAGAGCTATAACCTTCTGGGTCATCTTTTGAACTGATCTGCTAAAGTAGTTGCCTAGTATTATATTTCAGACTCTAGAGGATGTACATTAATGTGAGGTGCAATATACTGTTTTTTCTAAGAACCAAAAAGTCATCTGGAAAGAGCAGCCCAGCTGGCTCTCAGGATCACCAGTCCCAATGCCAGACTGCAGATTGAAGCAAGTGAATAGATAGTTCTGTTTGCAAAGTACTCGTGTAAACTGCAAACTGGTAGGTGGCACAAATACAAAGTAAAGTGTCTATAAAGTCCAAACACATATAGATAAGGCTTTTATATTCTGCAACAGTCAGACATTGACTATTGCTATCAAAAGGGCTTGTTTGCCCTGGCTGGTGTGGCTCAGCAGTTAGAGCATTGGCCAGTGCACTGAAGGGTCTTGGGTTCGATTCCCGGTGAAGGGCACATACCTGGGTTGTGGGTTCACTCCCTCCCCACGCCTGTCAGGGAGCATGCAGGAGGCAACCAGTCGATGTGTCTCTATTACATTGTTTCTTTTTCTCTCTCTCTCTGTTTTTGTCCCTTCCCCCTCCCTCTCTCCCTTCCACTCTCTCTGAAAAGATATCCTCGGGTGAAGATTAACAAACAAACCAGCCAACCAACCAAGGGCTGGTTCAGTAGAACTGAGGTGGTTGCTGCTAGTTTTATTCTATATACAACATTTAAATCTTTAATTTTGTCATTGGCTGTTAGTGCAGACTTTGTTCTACTGTTAAGTGGAAAGAAACATTTTCTGAAATTTCCCTCCCCCACAGGTTATGATGATGGTTCTTCCATTGTTGATATTTGTACTTCTGCCCAAAGTGGTCAACACAAGTGATCCTGACATGAGACGGGTAAGATGATTGCCCAGCTGTGATTTTTGACCCATATTCTGATGCCTGTCCATCTGTTGTGGTAGGTGGCTTGGGCCTGTCCGCTTTACCCTAAGACCCGAGCCAGGTTCACCTAGAGAATGTGTTAACACAGTGTTATGCTCCTGGGATTTAGATAGTCGTTTCCATTGGACCAGTTAAATTCAGTTTGTGCTTGATAAGGGCCTGGGTCTCTTCACACAGCTAAAACATTCTAATTAGTACTAACTCTTTGTGCTTCACTTGTTAAATAGTTGAAATGTATAATAATCCTGGTACACCTAACCTAAGTATTTTGCAAAATGATAGCTTCTTATAATCTATTTTTGCTTTACAAAACTCTTCAGAGTATACATTTAGTTTATGTGTTCAGGCACGTGAAAGAAATTTGAATAGACCAAGGGAGAAAAATAGAATAGTGGCTTTCAGACTTTGTACCACAAAATTGTACTGGCTTGGCACGGGGGAGAGCAATTGCCACGTAGGATGCTTCAAATTTAGTGCCACCACTTTGTCTCTTTTAAGTATTGGGTCCCATATAAAATATTCAATTTTTTCAAAACCATTGTTCATTCTTCTACCCAAAATCATCAATAAATATCTTCTTAGTTCCAAATTTTTCCGTATAATTAATGTATTGATGTGCTGACATCATTGCTGAAAAACATTTACTAATCAATTTCTAGGTTCTGGGTACTGGGGAATATGCAGATGAATTATTGTATCATCCCTGTTATCAGCAAGCTCATAATCCTATAAGTGTAGGAAATAGAAAGGATTTATAAAAAATTCTTGCCATCAAGGGTGTGTGTGTGTGTGTGTGTGTGTGTGTTAAGTAGGAAAATAAAATAAACATAAAATAAATAAAAATGTTTGCTGAGATAATAGGTGACTAAGTTCTGTAGAAGATGAGGCATTTTATTCCAAGCTGGAATGGCAGAAAAAGCTTCATGAAAAAAGAAAGCTTTATAATGTTTCATAATATTTTATTGCTAAATTTTGGCATTTCTGCGTCACTGTTGGCCAGAAAGTATACATTCTATACAATCCTTGTATCTGTTAAGCCAGTTAACTCTCTATGACATCAACAGAGGCAACTTCAGAAGTCACACTGGATTAAAAGTTCATTACTTGCAAAATGCTTTGTACATGGTAAGCAGTATAAAAAGTTGTTTATTCAAGAGCTTCGGGCGAGTTTCTCTCCCAGGAGCACGTCTGCACCTTTCCCTTCCCCCTCTTCTCTCTCAGGCGAGCATCTTCTAAACTCTAAGGGACCCCATGAGACATGCAACCAGGGGAACAATGGTCAGTGATAACTTGCCCTGGCCTAACCCCCTGAACCTGTTTCCAAGGCCCCCTTTTCTTTGACTTCTCATTGAGCCCGCCTAGGCTCTCTTCTGTTGCTTCTTTTCTCCTGAGCCCTTCCCTGTTTCACTGTCCCCAGCTTTAATAGACATGCTCTAAAAAAAAAAAAAAAAAGCTTCAGAATTGAACAGATTAAAAAAAGGAGTTGATATATTTTTGCAGGGACTCATACGTATTACCACATACATTTAATTCTTGATTATTAGGGCACATTCACATATCTGATTTATATTCATAATGTTTCTTTTCCTGGCCGTATTTGTAAAAGCACTTTCTCCTTGAAAACTCATGTATAAATTTTACCTCTGGGGAGAAAGCCCAAGCTAATACCCAAATAGTGTTCAGTTTTAAGTGATAGCTAATATAGTATTTGCTATTTTTTCATGTCTGAACTAATGCAGTTTTAATTTGGAATGTTACATAAAATTCAAAGGAAGCAGACATTACATTAATATTGTGAAAATGGAAGAGTGCTTCACAGATTGTTGGCTCAGTACGGGGAGGGCAAAACCTCAGAATAACAGTACCAGGTCCTTATCCTGCCCTGCCAGCAACTTGTTTGTAACATTTGCGTTGTTTGCTTCACATGCTGTAGTTACGGTCACCCAGCTCATCCTGCCTAGATTTATTAGTAAGGGTCTTAGGAATCAAGTCTTAGAAATACTGCTGTTACCTTCCAAATTACTCTCATACCTTGATATTCTGGTTATATGTATCTAAAGGAAGCAAGAGTTTAAAAAACCACTCACCAAAACAATAAGAAAGCATTTTAATCAGAAAACAAAATAAAAAGGCAGGAATATGTCACATGCGTCCATTATCAGAGGAAATGTCTTTTATAAAAACAAGCTGAATCAAAACCTAGGCAAGCATTTACTGGACATTTACTAAGGATCAAAATGCTTAGTGGCATGAAGGAGGTATGAAACATGGTTTCTGAAGTGCTGTTGGGTATGACATTGCATCATGGCTTAGAACCAGTGCCTTTCTCTACTCTTCTTCTTCCTTAACGGAAGTGTTAGTTGTACGGTGACCCAAAGGATCCCTGTGCCCTTCATGCCATTATGCTTTCTCTTCCTGCAGGAGATGGAGCAGTCAATGAATATGCTGAATTCCAACCATGAATTGCCTGATGTTTCTGAGTTCATGACAAGACTCTTCTCTTCAAAATCATCTGGCAAGTCTAGCAGCGGCAGTAGTAAAACAGGCAAAAGTGGGGCTGGTAAAAGGAGGTAGTCGGGCAGTTCAGAGCTGGCATTTGCACAAACACGGCAACACTGGGTGGCATTCAAGTCTTGAGGGAAAACCGTGTGAAGCAACTACTGTAAACTTGAGTCATCCTTAAAGTTGATCTCTTATAACTGTTGTGTGTGATAGCTCTTCAGTACGTGTTTTGAACTTGGTACACAAGAAAACTCAGCTTTCATCCTTGTGTGAGGTCAATATTGATGTCACTGAATTAATTACAGTGTCTTATAGTAAATGACATTAATAAATTATATGAAGTACTATACATTATGTATATTAAAGTGTCTTAACCCAGAGATAAAATTATCTTGTCATTTTTTTTCCACTTAATGTTTCTTTTACTCCTGGAAGTTTTCGTTTATCTTTCATTATCTAAGGCCTGAAATTGATCCTTCCTGTTTAAAAAGAAGTGGTTGATATTTTTAGAGCAGCACGAACTATGGTATTTTAGCCAGATCATTCAAAATTCTCAGCCCTGCCCTGCCATTTAACATACCCTAATGATTGAGGTACACATTCCTGATGTACTTTCAGTTTTTATTATTACAGTTAGTTTCAGAGTATGGATGTATGAATTACAATAGTTATCAATTTTTAAATTCTGCTTACCATCTGTGCTATTCATTATTGAGTATCAGCCCTGTGCTGTGATTCAAGGTGGGATGCGGAAATAATGTCCAGTGTCTGCCCTCAATAGAGCTGACCACGGAGAGAGGGAGCACAAATAATAATAGGGAGTGAATGGCCAGGGGAAGGAAGCGCAGCAGTAGGAGAGCCTTTTAGAGTCTGAGGATAGAAAATCACATCAACCTTAGAGCTTCATGTAATATTGGTGGTGTAGCACAGTAGCTTTTCAGTTCCGTCATCTCTCCTATGATTGATTTCCAGAGTTGTTGGAATATAAATTACTACTTTCCACTCAGGGGTGTCTCAGAAACTTTTTATTTAAATAAGTTACAAAAATTTCACACCTTTTCTTATGGTTCGTTTTAATTAAAGAGGAGCTCTGAGGCTATATATTGCTTCTAGTAGAGGACTCCTCTCCTTCCCTGCGTTAAGGAACCCCCTATTGATTTTCTTCAGGTTATTAAATTAGCAAAAAACAGCAACAAAAAAGATTGGTTCCAAACTCTTATTTTCCCTTTTGTAATAGGTGCCATTATTCATTTTGAAATGAGGTACGTAAGTTTTCTTTTAAAGAAATAAATTCCAATGCAGGATATTTATATTTATATTTATATTTATGAAGGAGGAACTATATCTCTGTTTGTATTATAACACTAAAGTTACCAAACTGGTACTTTATGAATGATTCAGGTGGGAAACTGGTTAATGTGAGAACTAGGTCTTTTAAAATAGAGTATTTTATTGAAAATAAAATATTAGAACACTAGTTAAGTGAAAGTTATAATTTAAAGGAGACAGTATAGTAAGAGTCATAGTTGTATGACCAGAAATTATCCTGAAAAATTTTTAAATCTGGATTGTCAAAATTTGTATATGAAGTACCTAATGAAAAGAAATTAAAAAGCACTTCCAAGGAAATTACCATTTCAAGTGTTAATTAAGAAACTACATGTGGTTATTTTACATGATTCTAACACCATCTGAATATAATATATATATGTATCCCTTATCATATTGTGGAATGTTATTACATCACTTGCATATGAAAATCTTATCTTTGCATAGAACCTTCATCAAATGCTTAGTGTGCTTACAGGTGCAGAAATGATTGTATCAGAAAATAGGGGTTTAGTGCAAAGAGCCCCTGCTAACTTGCTTTGTGACTTTGGACAAGTCACTTTCCCTCATTGGACCATGTCTTGTTCATTGTATTTCCAGCATTGAGCATGTAGACACACAATAAATGTTTGTTCAATGAATAAATAAATGGGCCTCAAGTTTCCTCATCTGTGAATTGAGGATTTGGATTAGACCTCTAAATTCCTTTTCAGATCTAAAATTCCATTATACTTTTAACCCAGTCCTATTATTTCCTACCCTTAAGAACCATATGATCAGTGATCAGTGCCAACTTTCTCCTCTCTCACTTCCTTGTTTATTTTCTGCTATTCCCCATTTGGAGACAGAATCTTATTTTGCTCTTCTTTAGGACCTTTCTTAGATTCAATTTACATGCATCTCCTTTGAAATGTAAACTTTGTGTTTTAAAATATTTTAAATCTACTAAGTTAAACCGGGGTAGACTTGGTGCAAAACACATCTTTTTTTGCCCATTCTTGCAAGGAAGTCATGAGTGCCCAGGGTGCATTCATAGCACCCAAGTTTTTATAGGAGTCAAAACCTCATGACTCACCCTGAGTCTGGTTAATATTTTGAAGATTCAGGATTTTACCTAACCTTCCCAGAGTAAAGTTTCTTATTTTCCCCTTTGTGTCCTCTAACAGGAGGGAAGAAGCAACTAGTCAGCAACTTTTCAGTAGGGGAAGGGTTTCAAGGTCCTAGTGGGGAACGCCCATGGTGATCAAGGACAGTACTTTCATTTTAAGTGGTCACTCAGACTTTCAGGAAGGGGCGGTAGTGCTCAACCAAGTAAAAAATTATTAAAAATATTTTTATTAAATATCTTTAAAAAATTAAGACAAGTATTTTCATTTTTGTTTATTGCCTTCCAGGTCGCACATAGACATATTTTTGCATGTTTACAATAATGTATGAACCATTTTTAAGCCCAATAAAAATTCTGCTAAGCACTAATCTTAGGGAACACAGTAGAAGCTAGTGGCTGAATTTAGTTCAATTCAAGGAGTATGTTGAGATAGGACATAGTACTGTATTCTTTTAGCACTGTAAGTGTGATTATTGTCATCATCTTTTAATTTTTACGGTATATGAGAATATCCAATTGGTAAAAGTATATTACTCAGGGGAGCTTGAAGATAGGTTTTGCAAAATTTAGATGCTGCCTATAAACTCTAAACATTGTTTTAATATTCTGGGAAAGAGTTGATGAAATATAAAAAGAGATATTTTAGGAAAAATCTTCCCAAAATAGCACTAAATATTAGCATACCTTTCCCCCCCTCAGGAACACAACTGACTTTATTATGGGAGCACAAGGGAACTGAAGCCTTTCACAATGACTTCAGTCTGGTAGGGTTGAGCCAGCCAGGCAGGCAAACCTGAGATGAAGGAGCAATAAATGAAGGTCAGGCAGTAAACAAGAGGAATGGGTGAAGCCATAAAAATTAGCTGTGCAGAGCATTTCCAACAAAACTTTTGACAAGGCATTTAATTCCATTAAAGTTTAATAAACTAGTAATTATTGAATATTCATCTGTATCTCCTTAGGTAATTTTGAGATAAATATTCCATATAAATGAATGTAAATCATTTGTTCTCACTTTTAATGAGCTTCTTGACTATGTATTTGGATATTTTATCTTTTAAGTATGTTTCATTGATTTTAGAGAGGGAGAGAGAAATACCGATGTGAGAGTGAAACATCAATCAGCTGCCTCCTGTATTCCCCCTACTCAGGATTGAGCATGCAACCTGGGCATGTGCCCTGACTGGGAATCAAACCAGCGACCTATCTGTGCATGGTACGATCCTTAACCAAATGAGCCACACTGGCCAGGGCATATATTTGAATATTTTAAAACATTTCTAAATAACTAGTAAGAAAATGAGAAAATACTTAGAATTAAGTGATCATGAAAGTTTGGCATGAAGATTAAGAAATGGAATCATTCTAGAAATGTGATGATTCATAAGGAACTATGAGAAGATGGTGTAAGGAAAGCTTCCTTACAATAGCTTCTATTGTGGAATCGTGTCCATTACACACAAGAAAGAAAGAAAAATACCATTTTGCGTTTGTCTCTCCACAGGACTGGATGGACTTGCCTTTCCACCCACAGCTGGTTGGACGGAGGGTGGGACTGAGTGAGTCAGTTGGGTGGTACTGGATCAGAGGAGGCAGCATGTTGATGCTGAGCCACAGGTAAGCAGAATCAACAGTGGAATCTACAAGTCTGAAGAGTCTGGCCAGCAGAGAGTGTAGCAAAAGCCCAGGTGGGAAACCGTGGTGACTCCAGAGAGGGATGGAGAGAGTAGCTGCCAGATAAGAATCCAGTCCCATGGAGGCTCGGCTGCTCTTACAGTGGGTTCTGTAAAGCCTCTTGAAGTCCTCCCTCCACCATCTCCACCCTAACCTCTTACTATCATCTGTCCTGACTAGGTGAGTACTGTGTCCAGTTTTTGCCTCTAAGATGATACACTGAGGTCCAGAGAAAAGCTGCCAGTGATAGGTATTCATGTTTTCCGGTACAAATGGTTCTATTGACTTCATGACTATATTAATTGGATGCAGTTTAGGAAGGATTAAAGGGTATACTTTTTGCAGTTTGGTAAAGAGAATGCTGAGGGGATTTTAAAAATACTTAATCTCTTTAAAGCAAATTCTGATCAGCTGTGTGCCACTCCATGCAGTCAGTCTGGGAAAGGAAATGGACTTCCATTGCAGCAGAAGGACTTGCAGTTGACCCTTGAACAATGTGGGTTTGAACTGTGCAGGTACACTTACAAGCAGATTTTTCACTTGACCCACACAGTTCAAACCTGTGTTCAGGGGTCAGCTCCCCAGTTGGGAATCTGTGTATGCAGAGGGCTGACTGTAGTTCTATGGATCTTTGTGGGGAAGTCAGCACCCCTAACCCCCAAGTTGTTCAAGGGTCAGCTGTAGTTGTAAAATTCTTGACATGGTAAATAAAATCGTGAAATGCCACTCTGAGATTTACTTTTCTTGGAGATCTTTAGAAAATGGGGCAAAAAATCATCTCTTAAGATGGCTTATATGTGAAGCTACCTAATGGTCTCTCAAATTTCTTCCTATCCCCCCAAATAAATTATTTTATTCCCAGAATGTGAAGAATGATAGGATAGATAAAATACCAGTGGAGGAGGAAATGAGATATAGCAATAAAATTGGACTGTAGGGAAGGGGAGAGGAAAATCTAAACTCTAACAATAAGAGATTTCCTGTCTGGCTGGTGTGGCCCAATGGTTGAGCACCAAGAGGTCACCAGTTTGATTCCCAGTCAGGGCACATGCCTGGGTTTTGGGCTTGATCCCCAGTAGGGGGGATGCAGGAGGCAGCTGATCGATGATGTTTCTCATCAGTGTTTCTCTCTTTTCCTTCCTCTAAAAAAAAAAAAAAATCAATAAAAACATGTATTTTTTTAAAAGAGAGATTTCCTTTCTTTAACGTATACCTGCTGATTGTCGTCCAGTTTACCCCCTGTAACTGGTTCTCCCCTGAGGAGTGGGTGCAGCCCAAAGGAGTGTTCTCCGAGCAGCTGTATTTGTGGAGCTTGGTTCTGCTTTTATAGGCATAGCTGATTGTTCCAGGAGGAGTATCTAACTCAGGCTAGGCTGAAGGCTGTTTCTTGGGAATTTGAAATTAAAACTGAGGGACTAGATGGCTACATGTAAATTTGTAAAATGTATATATTCTGTCATGTAAATTACAAAGAAGAGAAAACTGACTCCAGACAGAAAATACAGAATGAAGCAGATGCATAAAGAGCTGAAATGGGAGATGAAGTTTGAGAATTGTACCTTAAATCCTTTTCTGAGGAGACTGCGTTCGTGCCCTTGGGTTCCATGGAGCACTGCTATACCCTACAGTATAGTGTTGATGTGTTTTACTTAAGCTAGCGCCAGTAGGTTTTTGTCACCTGATTCCAAGTGTCCTAACTTACACACTTTTCCAGAGCTGACCAAAAGAATGTCCAACCTGCCGAAAGCCTCCTCCACTTCCTTCAGTCATACAGAATTGGCTCTCTTGCCTCCATATTCATCTTGAATGAAGGGGTCAGAAGGGACTTTCTGACTCAAGGCGGGGAGGTTGGGTGAAACAGATTCTGGCTCCGTCACTTACTAATCATATGATCTTGGGAAGCCTTTCTGAGCCTCAGTTTCATTGTGTGTAAAATGGGGAAAATATCTGCTTCATGAGTAGAACTGTTCAGAACACTTAACATGTATTATCTCATTTAATAGTCACACTAACCCTATGCATTTAAGTCCTCAATAAAAGTTTGTAATTATTAATATTCTTACTTTTTGGGTGTGGAAACAGGTTCAGATTTTCCCAAGCTCACCATGGTAACGTAGAACAAGTCCTGTTCACTCCTTCCTGTAGTGCTTCTCTTACACCAAAAAAACAACATTCATATACCCATGTCAACACAGCCATACATTTGTTACAGCTGTTCACCCTTTGCCTACCATCCTTGGCATGACTTAGGGACTTGCCTCTCTCCTTCCAAGCTCTCCTCGGAGAGAAGGGGTGGTGCAGTCAAGAGAAATTGACTTCCAAGACAAAGCACTTCTAGTCCCAGTCTGTGGTGCCTGAGCTTCAGTCACTGTAAAACTAATCTTTCTAAAAGGCAAATCTGATGGGGTCAGTCCCCTATTAAAACCCTTTATAGACTCTGTGGACTTAAAGATAAATTTTCTGACCACAGTCCCTCCAGATTCACTTTTTCTCCCACCTACATCTTGAATTTTTCACATTTCTCCATTTTAAGCTGTATATACACACTCACCTCTGGGCCTTTTTGATTATTTCTTCCTCTCAACTCTCTACCCACTTTTTTCCTATTCTTTTCATGTGTACCCCTTACATCTTATTCAGGATTTAGTGTTGAAATTACCTTCCACAAAAGTCTTCCAGGCGGATACGAGCTTGGGTAAGAGCCTCTCCTTTGCCCCCTTTATGCCTGTACTTAATGCCATCATTGCGCCTCCTTGTGTCGGATTCCCCGTTCACTTCTCTCCCTTCGCTCTCTGGGCTCTAAGCTGCCTGGACTGTCAGGCACTAGTAATACAACAGTCCTGTCCTCAAGGAAGGGTAGAAGGAACATCAGTTTCTCCTGTGAAACAGCTCTGGAGTGGCTGCCACATAGAGCTTTGTAATGAATTGTTGGGATCCCAACTCAAATTAGTAGACAAACATAGAGATCAGAGACCTATGGTGAATTGAGCTTCCACTCCTCAGGGAACCTGAAAGATACTAGCCTTGCCAGAAAAACAAAAACAAAACCACAAAACCCAGGAATCTTGCCTCACGACTGTCTCCTATCTCAGGTATGCACTGCTTATTTAGTAAAGACTACATTGTGAAATCCCTGTACTATTATCTGTGCCAAGGGTGTTGGGTGAGAGGACACAGTGGTGAGCAAACAGCATGAACTCCGGCCTCAGAGCTCGGAGTTTAGTGGGAGAGAGAGACCAAACTCATACAGATGTGTAACGAAAACCTTGATAGGTGCTCTGAGGAAAGGTCTGAAGCGCCATACAGGGACCTGTGAGGTGAGATGAAAGAGAAAGCAGTTATACGGAAAGAACAGAATTGGCGGGGCACTCCAGAGGAGGGAGCGCACCTGGAGAGGTAGGCGGAGGCCTCCCCGGGTGTGCTGCGGGCCTGAATTCACCGGGTCTCCCCGAGAACACACCTGGCGCCTCTCAGGACAGACCTGTGGGTGGCGTTCCAGGGTCACCTGTCTGTGACTACTGCTAATCAGTCCCTGAGCAAACTTACGTGAAATCATTGCCAAAAACCTAGAATCTAGTAGAAATCTCAGGGTCCCAGAAACTTTGAGATAATATAGTAATTGGAAGAAAAACGAGCCTCTCCTTCCCTCTTGCCTTGCTCCCTACCCGCTCGGGTTCAACCTCAGATCTTTAAATGATGTGGCCCAGCATCATCTGTGGCATAGAGATGGCTTCTTTTCCCTTTTATCCTCTGGAGCTGACGGGATCGGTTGGGAAGAAGGGTCCTGCCCTTCTTCAAGGCCTCTCAGTGGACTCTTGGCTCCTGGGAGGCTCTCAGTCCTCTGACTCTGAACCAGCTGCTGACCCCGAGGCTCTTTTCTGTGGGGATGAAAAGGGGCCATGTGCTAAACCTGACAAGCTCAGGGGAGGTCTGCATGGCGGCCTTGCAAACTCAGACCTAAAATAACTGCAAAGGATGGTCTGAAATTAAAACCTTTTAACTAAAAGCAGTCTATGGTGGGTAGTCTGTCCTAGGCTGGTGTCTTCCCTAACAGGTTAATTTTCATCTTAACTAAGCCTGTCCTTTTTGTCTTTTGTATCTGAGATAACATATCTGATTAACACATGCCTTTGTAAAACAAAGTAATTTCCTGCTTTTCCAGACCCTCAGCACACTAGGGCAGAGACTAGGAACCCTCTCGTTGTTATTATCTTGTTCATCTATGAGATAGAAAGTGTTTTCCTTGCTTGGTTATTGTCATGGGTTGAATTGTGTCCACCAAAATATGTTAGAGCCCTAACCCCCAGTACCTCAGAATGTAACCTTATTTGGAAATGGGGTGTTTATAGAGGTAATCAAGTTAAAATGAGGTAATTGGGGTAACCTAATCCAATATGACTGTTGTCATTATAAAAGGGGGCAATTTGGACACAGACAGACATGCGCAGGAAGAAGATTGCTGTCTACAAACCAAGGCGTGCCGGAGGCTACCAGGAGCAGCCGGAGAGGCCTAGAGCATACCCTTCCCCAGCGCCTTCAGAGGGAGTAAGGCCCTACTAATGAACGCTTGGATATTGGACTTCTGGCCTCTAGAACTGTGAGATAATAAATTTCTGTTTTTCCAAACCATCCAGTTTGTGGTACTGTGTTATGGTAGCTCTAGGAAACAAGAAGAGTTATTTTAAAAATTAGACTTTATAAGTCTTTAAAAAAAATCCCTCCAGGAAATGACTGGTTCTTCTCAAGTTTAGAATGAAGAGGACAACGATCCCTGTGCACTAAGCTGTACAGGGTGTGTCTGTTAGAGATGAAAACGGTCAGAAGTAACCTCTCTCTAATCTATTTTTAGTTATGGATAGGAGCTCTCCTTTACTTGAAGCCTTAGATTTTCTGCGTTTGAAGTGTTTGAGTAACCAGTCTGCAAGATGTGAACGTGAGGATTGCCGAACAGTACTTCGCAGTTTTGTGTGTTTTTAAAAGCATCTGTTTGTACTTAGAAAAAGCAAGATTATAAGGATAGACCCTAAGATATTTAGCAGAGGTTATCTCTGTGTGGTAGAATTACTGGTAACTTTTATTTGCTTCTTTATTTTCCAAGTTTTCCAAGCGAATTCTTACTATTTTAGTAATCACTGTATTATAAAATATAGTGACTATAAAATAAGACCTAGTATAGTTTTATGTTTCTGAACGCTTTTCCATGGCAGTCCTCCAAACCCCAGTTTACATGGGTATTACCTTTTCCTCTTCGCCATCTTCCAGCCCGTGGTGTTCCCCTCTGCAGTTCACTGTAGAGTACAGTAGGGAAACTGGGCTGCAGTTAGAACATCATGGTAAAGCTTCACGGATTTTGATTGAAAGTGGCTGATCTGTAAACATATTTTTGGATATATGCAGAACTACTAAAAATAAGCACCAGTTCCCGAGCTAGTGATATTGGGGCTAAGCGGGCTGAGTATGAGCCGCTCTTTGTTCAAGGTAAGGGTGCCCATTTCTTTACCAGGACACCACTGAGGATGCATTTATGCAGGATAACTCTCTCTAGGAAATCGGTGCTAATAAAACTGTTTGGAGGACTGCTCTTAGCAGGAGCATAAGGGCATTCGTGGGGCATCTGGTGGTATGAGGCTTATTTGAGGGTTATATAAGAAAATTAGGACTTTTTAGACAAATAGATTGCCATGAGGCACACTAATGTAGATGATTCTTGATGTGATGGTCAAGGCCAGTGAGCAGAACTGGGTCTTGACTTTTTTTTTTTTGCATTATCACAGATAAACTTAAGGTGGCCACCCCCACACACATTAATTCATCAAGGGAGATAGATGGAGGACAGTGCAGTTCATTGGGAGGATACCTTGCCCAGCTGGATGTGCCCTCTGTGATTTTAATATGAATAGTTATTTGGGTGTCAGTCTTTTGCTTATTACTTAATGTCTCCAGAGTTGTTCTACTTGTGTCCTCATTAACTGAAGCAATTTTTGAACACAGTAATTTGACTGTATCCCTTCAATCTTAATCTGAAAAAAACTGTAAGCAAATATTGGAACTTTACTAAAAGGTAGTTTTTCACAGTGATATGGGTGTTGAAATTCTGAAACTCTTAAAGCAAATTGAGCAAATGGTGATTCTCAGTGTTGGAGAGGGAGATACAAATATGGAAAAGGGAGAATCCTGTGGCGTAGGATTGGAATTGCAGATGTCGATATGAACTCATTGCTTTTAATAAATATCCGCATGCAGATATTTCTTAGTTTCATCCACTAAAGGGGCCTAATAGCAATGAATATATCCTGAGTCCAGATCTGAGTCAGGTACCATTCTCTACTTAATGAAACCAGGACTTGAAGAAATGGCTGATTCCCGGGCTGGGGAGAGTCAAGATGAGCCTAGAACTTTTTGTTGTATCAGAAAGTAAGGGAGTGCTCCAAAAATGTTTAGGGTATGTCAAAGGGTCCCAGGAAACATCTTGAAGTTCTCACTGCTTAAACTGGTGATAGTCTGAGCACTGAAATAATGACAGCAGTGAATTTTTAACCATTTACTAAAATAAGAGTTAATGAGTCCATAATGATAATGAGAACATACATAAATAAATCAGAAAGAAGCAAAAAGCATTTCCGCAGTAGAATGCCAGCCACTTGGCAGTCATCATGGTAATAACTTGGTTGGGTGAGAATAATAAACAGGTGCTGTAATTATTGGGTGAAAATCTGATAACCCACAGGGAATTTATATAGGCTCAAAGTTTCTTTCCCCAGATTGAAGGAGTCTAAAGAGACCTGGTAACGGGGTGCAGGTGTGATCCTGACTAGATCCTGAACTGGAAAAGAAGTTCTTATACCTCATTTGGACAACAGGCAAAATTTGAGTGTGGACTGTATTACATAATATTGTTGGGATGTTAAATTTCCTGATTTTTATATTTGTATTGTGGTTATGTAATATAATATCCTTGTTCTTCAGAAATACCCACTGAAGTATTTAGAGGTCAATGGACACAATGTTTACAACTGCAAATGGTTGAGAAAAAATATGTGTGGGTATGCATACACACAGGGGTGAGCTACACATGTGGCAAAATGTTAACAACTGGGGCATGTGGGTGAAGGATGTAGGAGTTTTTTGTACTATTCTTGCAGCTTTTCTCTAAGTTTAAAATTATTTGGGGGNGGAGTTTTTTGTACTATTCTTGCAGCTTTTCTCTAAGTTTAAAATTATTTTGGGAAAAAAAAAGTTTTGGTTTTTTCATTTCCTTCTGGTTTGTTCCTTGATACTTAAAACATTTAGTTCCCTCCCCCCGCCCACTCACGACCTGAAGTCCTCATTCTGTAAGAGTTTGTGCAATCTCAGTCTTTACTGGTGACATGGCCTGGGGGAGATGGAAATTTGTATCCCTTGCAGTGGGGGTGAAATGACTGGGGCTCCAGCCTTTGGAACAGTCGAAGAAGAAACGCTGCTGTTGTTTTGTTTCAGGGTCTGTACCAGCCGAAGGGCTGTGGTTTGGGGTCTGCCCACCTCCCTTGTCCTGGAGGGAAAGGGAAGCATTTTAGTCACAGGAATCTCGTCATCGTTATTTCATCTTGATTTGGTCATTGGTAACAGAGGAAAGGGGGAAATCACAAAGGTAGCAAGAGGGACATGTATCCATATTGTGAATCAACCCCTCCCTTCCTAAAAGGCCAGGCCATGCAAATGTCTGTGGGATCTCTAATGTAGAAGGATCTATCAAGCTAACCTGAGACTATTTTCATGTTTAAATGCTTTGCACTGGACTACTGTGTGGTTAAATTTCTTTAATTTCCAGAATGATGCTTGTACAATATACAAAAGCAGCCCAGTCCCCACATCCTTTGCTATACTTCCAGTATTTATAGTAGACAACTGAATATTCCAGTCCAGAGATTAGGTGCAGATTTCACAATTACAAAGAGCAGAGCATCAGCGTCTCCCTCGAACACTGACCGAAGGAGCAAAGCAGAGGCCGGGAATATTGACAAAATGCTTTAAACAAAAATCATACTGAAAAGAGATTCCTCAACAAGTTATCAAATTCACAGCCAAGGAGAAACACGAAGTTAGCAACATAGCAGCATCCAGTAGGTAACTAGTCAAACAAAGCTGTACATCGTTTACCCTAGACAGAGCATGGGAAATTGGGGGCATAAAAGGCCTAAGATCTGAAGTTAGCCCATGCCTTGCAGTTTATATTTGGATCTTCCTTCTGAGGACTCCACCAGAGGCCCGATGCTAGTCTCCCCTAGTTTGGGCTTTTTTGTGTGTGTGTGTCTATGCCAAAGGGCATAGGTAGTCTGCAAAACTGGCTGTCTCCAAAAACCAATGATAAGGAAGCACAGGCCTCTCCATTAATGTCACATATGATGAACAAAAAGTCCTAGGCCACCGTGGAGTGTGACAGGATACCTCCAACACTGCCCCTCCGCTCCCCCTCCTGCTTCAAATTCTGTGTTGTTTTGATTAAATTAGCTTGTTTTTCTTCTCTCTCTTTGAACAGTGAATGCCCAACATGGGCTCAAAGTCCTGTTATTCTCTTGGAGGGATTTTCATTTTTCTCAGGAACCAAAGCCTTAAACTGAAAAACCCACCTGCTTATCTAGAGCTGGTGGAGCAGGTTTGCTCATGAAGTCACACCCTGTTGGCATCACATAAGCCTGGGAGCCTCTGTCTTGGAGAACTGAGCCAATTAATTAATATTCTTTATCAAATTCTTGGCAGGTGTCAACCTGCCCTTCCCAAACGCTCAGCAGCTACATTCCTCTCAAGATGTTACATCTCAACATTGAGTCCCTAGAGGGCTGGAGGCTCGGCCTGCGTTTCTACTGCCTGAAGCATTCTTGGGACTTTGTAAGAGGCTGATTTGCTTGTCAGGGGTTGGGTGAAGCTCTCCTATCCTCAAGTACATGCCTAATTCCCAGGACAGCTAAACCAACTATTTTTACATCTTCTTAGCAAATGAGGCTGAGAAAGAGCAGGCCTGTATTAAGTGAAATGAAGTCTGAAGGTTTTTAAACACATCACAGATACGGTGAACAGGTTAAACAAGGAACCCTGTCTGGCAGGAGTGCTTCATCTTTCAATTTCCCCTTGCTGCCTTCTTTGTGGATCTTTCATTAATTGCATGCACTGTTTTGTAGTTTCAATTTCTTGCACATTGGTTTATTTTCAGAACTATCACAGAAACGTCTTAGATTCAGTTTATGTACACAGAGATTTCAGTTAAATTTGGTTTTTAATAATCCTGATACTCTATATTTGATATAACCGCTATATTTTCATACATTATTGTGACCTATATTTTGTTTTTAAAGCCTCATCTTTCATTTTTAATGGCCATAGCCAGCTTCACTGGACCTCAACTTTACTTTTCTGGACTTCTCATCTTTGACCATGAATTTGAAGGGGAATAAGTCAGTCATTTCTGAACTGTGATCGGAGGACCTATAAAAAATAATAAAACCTTTCCGCTGCTGTCCCCCCACTTTTGGCTGGAGGCTCCACAGTGACCTGCTTGTGCCTAGGTATGAACTGGGGTCTGAATGAGGGAAATTGGGGGCCTGCTAAAGGCCCTAGAAGAAGTTCAAAAACATGGAGTGACACCAAATTTGTTTTCCACATTAGCCTCAGGTTTGCCTGCAAAGAGATTAGAAAATAAGACCTCTGAACACAATTTAAGAGAACCCTGAGGAAATAGCCTGTAGAAGATCTTTACTCCGTGAAGGGCTGTGTTACTACTAGTCTTCCTAAGAATAGAGCATGAATAAAGGGGTTTAAACGGACACAAAACAGAATGCACAATATTTGTTTAGAAAACTAGGAAAAAACTCCCACCAGTAAAACATAACTGACTGGAGACTTGATATCTTTGTTAGCCGAGTAGAGGCCCCTGTCTCGGACTGGGTGTGGTCAGGTTTCAGGCCCTCCCAGACGCAGGCTTCTGAAAGGAAGGATGGGGGCCAGCATGGTTTCAATAGTACCAGGAATTGGCATCCGTTTTGAAAGAGAATAACATAAGCTTTGCTCAGGTGTAGGGACAGGAAAACATACCACAGTGCAGAACACATAGCTGTATAATAAATACTTCGTAAATAAATACTGATCGGTTTATAAAGAAAGTCTTAGAAGCCAGCTGAGTAACACTCCTGTTAATAGGTAACACTGACTGACATTCCCCTGGTTCTCACGGCGCGGGACAACTCCATAGACACACACATACTGCGCAAAACTGTACAACAGGTTCCACAGGGGAGAGGTTTCCAGCTGGTCCCTGCTGCTCCCCAAAGAAGGTTAGACAAAGGTTCCCTCAGTCATTGTTCACCATGACCCAACATGCCTGTGAAGCGCCACTAGTCTGTCCTCTTCAATGACACTCCAGTGGCATCAGGCGGCCTCAGTTACAGATAAGTATAATTCTATGTGGCAGCAACTGTGGCAGGTGTGACTCATTTCTTTTGGTGACAGACCTCAAGCCTTTACAAAGTCCTCAGGGACTCAAAATGACAGATGTCTATTTTGAAAATCAGCCAACCCGAACCAGCTTGCGCATCCTCAGAGGAAGTGAGTGATGGCCGTTCTTTTGAGGGGAGCTGCTAACTTTTCAGGGGAGCTTGCTGTTCCCCTGCCAGTACAACTTCTCTTCCACTTTTTTCTTTTTCCATCGGCAGAGAAGCAGCATCTTAAAGGTCTTCCTGAAGGTTCTGTTGCAGAGGGCATAGCAGATGGGGTTGACAGTGCTATTGACATAGCACAACCAGTAGCCCAAGTGCCACAGGGTGACTGGGACACACTTGTCACAGAAGGTGGAAACCAGGACCATGATGTTATAAGGGGTCCACGTGATGATGAAGGCCAGGAGAATGGCGCTCAACGTCTGGGCTGCTTTCCTCTCTTTGACAAGGACCATTCTCTTTCGTTTGGTCATTTGATGGCTGAGGTTGGGATCCAGGCCTTTCGTCGAAGGGTCCTTGGACACTGGGGAGGAGCAGGGCATGATTTTCACTTTGCGGCAGCCGTTGTTGGTCTCCTGGGCCCCGTCAGCTTTTACCACCAACCGGAACTTATAGGCCACACATTTCTGACTCTTGGGCCTCTGGGCAGCTGCTGGAGACAGGAAGTATTTGGGGGTGTCGTCGTCATTTTTTTCAGTTTGACCTTTCACAAAAGTTTCCTTGGTCTCTTCAGTGCTGAAATCTTCCCTGGGGCTTTCCTTGGCCTGGCTCCTGTAGACCACCTGGAAGTCGGAGTCAGCGGCGGGCTTGTCCTCATCTTCCGAGGAGGGGCAGCTGCTACATGTCGTGAGCTGCTCGGCTTTGTCCCACTCAGCGCTTGGGCCAGTGGCCTGGGAGGGCTTCCCGGTGGTGGAGGTGCTCCTGCGGGAGGATGACCAGGAAGCTTGGCTCCTTTCCCTCTGCGCCAGCGCGGGCCCAGGGCAGCTAAAGCAGGACTGCAGCAGAGCCTTGTGAGCTGGCTTCCTCTTCTCAGCTTCAGCCACAGAGTCCGAGCCCTGCAGGTCAGCGAGGTCCTTGGTCCGCTTCTCTGTCTCCCGGTAGATTCGGCAGTAGAGAATTGTCATGACGGAAACAGGAATGTAGAAGGCAGCGATGGCAGTGCCAAAAGTGATGGTGGGCTCAGAGAGGAACTGGATCTGGCACTCATCCGGAGGCACCGTTCGCTCCCCGACCAAGTACTGCCAGCAGAGGATTGCTGGGGCCCAGAGGATGAAGGAGATCAGCCAGGCCAGGCCAATCATGATGCCGGCCCTCTTTGGGGTACGCTTGGCCCGATACGTCAGGGGTCTCGTGATAGAAAAGTAACGGTCAAAACTGATCACCAGAAGGTTCATGACGGAAGCGTTGCTGGCCACATAGTCCAGCGCAAGCCAGAGGTCGCAAGCCAGACTCCCCAGGGCCCAGCGCCCCATGAGGATGTAGGTGGTATAGAGGTTCATGGAGAAGATCCCGATGATGAGATCTGCGCAGGCCAAGCTGAGCAGGTAGTAGTTGTTAACTGTCTTCAGCTGACTGTTGACTTTGAAGGAGATCATGACCAAGACGTTGCCCACGATGGTGACCAGGCTTACCACCGCCGTCACAGCGGCAACGGTGATGACTTCCCACAGCCCGTGGCGTTCCAGAGGCTGGTGGCTCACTGGGGTGCCATTGACAGTAGTTGCATTGTGGTAAGATTCTCCTTCCATCCTGGTGCAAGAGTTTGCATTAGGAGTAGGTCAGGTTCTATACTATTCTCTTTTTTATCTACACCCCTTCTGGGACAGCATCTGGAAGAGAGGGAAATACATTAGCTTCACTCGCCAGCATGAATTTCTTTTCCACTCATTGTTTATAATTTCTAACAAAATATTGAATGTGGTCCCACACACATGTGGGGCAAGATGCTGAAATCTCTAAAGTTTTTTTAACCCTCATCCGAAGATACGTTTTTATTGATTTTTAGAGAGAGAGGAAGGGAGGAAAAGAGAAACATCAATGAGAGAAACATTGATTGCCCCCCATATACACCCTGACTGGGGATTGAACCTGCACCCTTTCGGTGGACATAACGACACTCTAACCAACTTAGCCACCCAGCCAGGGCAACTCTCTGAAGTTTTGAACATTTTTATAAGGACATCATCCCTTCGCTTTTTAGGATTAATAACATCTGAGCACCTTTCTTGTACACCAGGCTGCTGCCCTCTTGTGGTTCCCAAAGGCAATTTTAAAAAAGGTCTGGGAAGATGAGAGCAATGGAAAAGGAAGGAGAATTGGATTGTCGGGGGGTATTAATAAGGAGAAAGCAGGTGACATTGTTGCTTTGGGCTGCGGTGTCCTTAACGGCAGATACTTTTTAAGTTCCTGGTGATAAGTACTTAGTCTGTCATGCACTGGAGAAAAAGATAAGTTGTACCAACTCTATAGTCCAATAATTAAGATTATTGAATTTAATTATAAATTCAGTTGTTAAACATTATTGAGGCACTGTTGTGAGCCGAGACTGTATTACAAAACTTCATCCTGACTTCATGCACAAACTCCCACTGGGTACTTGGTTTTCATTAAGAGGGTTTGAAATTTGCCCCAGCTGCTGCTGACTCTTCCTTGGGCTATATGCAATGCCATAGAAATGTTTTAAAATACCTTTTTTTTTAAATTTAAAATTTTTTTCTTTTCTTTTTTTTTTTTAAATATGTCTTTATTGATTTCAGAGAGAGGAAAGGAGAGGGAGAGAGAGAGACAGAAACATCAATGATGAGAGTCATTGATGGAGCCCACAACCAGGCATGTGCCCTGACCGGGAATTGAACACCGATCGCCTGGATCCTAGGTCGACGCCCAACCGCTGAGTGACGCCAGACCAGGATAAATTTTNTTTATTGATTTCAGAGAGAGGAAAGGAGAGGGAGAGAGAGAGACAGAAACATCAATGATGAGAGTCATTGATGGAGCCCACAACCAGGCATGTGCCCTGACCGGGAATTGAACACCGATCGCCTGGATCCTAGGTCGACGCTCAACCACTGAGCGACGCCGGACCAGGATAAATTTCTTTTTCTTTTTAAGATAATTTTTAATTATAGCTGACATACAATATATTAGTTTCAGGTGTACAACAGTGATTAGACATTTATAAAACTTATGAAGTGATCACCCTGATAAATCTAGTGTCCATTTAACACCATACATAGTTATTACAATATTATTGACTATATTCCCTATGCTGCACTTTATTTTTTTATATTCACATGATTTAAAAAACTTTTTATTGAATTTATTGGGGGTGACATTAGTTAATAAAATGCTATAGGTTTCAGGTGTACAATTCTATAACACATCATATGTATATTGTATTGTGTGCTCACTATGCAAATATCTTTTTATTTTTATTAAAAATTTTTTTTGTTAATCCTCACTTGGGGGTATTTTTCCATTGGTTTTTAGAGAGTGGAAGGGAGGGAGGGGAAGAAAGAGAGACACAGAGAGAGGGAGAGAGAGGGAGAGACATCGATTGGTTCATCCCAAACTCACTCCTACGTGGGCCAGGGATTGAACCTGCAACCCAGGCAAGTGCCCTTGACCAGGAATCAAACCCAAGACCCTTCAGTGCGAGGTCTGACACTCTAACCGCTGNGAGGGAGGGGAAGAAAGAGAGACACAGAGAGAGGGAGAGAGAGGGAGAGAGAGGGAGAGAGGAAGAGACATCGATTGGTTCCTCCTGAACTCACTCCTACGTGGGCCAGGGATTGAACCTGCAACCCAGGCAAGTGCCCTTGACCAGGAATCGAACCCAAGACCCTTCAGTGCGAGGTCTGACACTCTAACCGCTGAACCACACCAGCCAGGCCCAAATATCTTTTAAAAATCTGACTATAAGATAAGATGCTCCTTATAAAAGTTGAAGCAATGTCAAAATGTATAACTTAGGAAACAGAAGTCTCCTCTAGTTCAGTCTTGCAGAGGAAATCAGTGCTAACAGTTTAGTGTGTATTTTGACAGCTTCCCTTTATGTATATACTAACCAACATTTAAATACAGTTATTTTTAAGTGGGTGAATTGTTAATGTTTGCACTGAATTTTGTTTTTTATTTCTTTTGTATCAGTACATCTTTGGGATCACTTTTTTTTTTTTTTTTTTGCATTTTAGTGACTGCTCATTATTTCACTTAATGGATGTACTATAATTTAATCAATCCCCCATAGACAAATTCCAACTTTTAAATTAAATTTTCTTTTCTAGTTAAAAAATTTACGTGCATGAGAAAAGCTTCAATGAGTACAAAAGGGAAAATGGTGAAAGATCGGTCTCCCTTCCACCTCTGACCTCCAAGCTCCCTATCCCCCTTTTCCAGAGGTCACCAGCTACCATTTCTTATCTTTCCTTCCAGAGAGATACTATGTGCATATGCTATATATTTGGTGGTGTATGAAAATAGCATTACAAAACTCCAGGCTCCATGGCCTGGTGACAGAGGGCGGAGAGAGGACCCTTTGATGGCCCCCCCAGCGCGCAGTGTGGCCGTCCCTACTCGGCCTGCTGGGCAGTTTTGACCCGTCTTTAATAACAGTAATTGACATAAAGATGACAGATTTGTAAAGGGCTATAGATTTTCTTTGTTTTCTATTTTAAACTGTGTTTTTAGATTTTTAAAGCCTCAGGTTCAATATGGCATTGACGATATTGTAACAGAAACCAGGTTCTCCCACCTCCCTCATCTAGTCCCTTCTCTCTCACATCCCGACTGACGCGGTCCAACCCCATGAAACACCTCTGACTGGCCCCTTCACTCCCGCTGCTCCCACGCTGGCCCAGGCTCGTTACCTATACCAACAGCTCCTTGGCATTATCAACATCCAAAAGCTGGCACAGTAAATCCCAAGAATGCCAGGTCACTAGACACAGACTCCCCAGAACCTGAAAAGCCCAAAGTTACTTTATACCCTATAATTATCTGGAACTTTAGAAAAGCACTAATGCCTGCGCCCCATCCCAGGCCTGCGAACGCAGAATCCGTGAGGGAGAGGCATGCCCGTCACACCGTTTTGAAATTCCTCCAGTGATTCTCACGTGCAGCCAGGCTGCTCCGGCTGCAGCTGGCAGATGGCATATTGACACCACCGGGGAGCACGGTGGAAATGAAGAGCCGGTGCTTCTCCAAAGGTAACATGCTAAGGAATTACCTGGAGGATCCTGTTAAATTGCAGGAGGGCGGGGCTTGCACTTCCACTGTTCTCACCAGGGCCCAGGTGGGCTCTATGCTGCTGGTGCCTCAGCCACACTTTAAATAACGAGTCTGAGGATAATTCCTGAACTTCCTAGAAAAGAGGAGCCGAAGCTTACAAAAGTTGCTCTTGAAACTAGAATTTTCCAGCTAAAATGTGCAGTAACATTTGGATTCCTCTCTGCCTTCCAAGGACATTTGAGTACATTTTATTTTTCCTATTTAAAATTAACACATATTTCCTGTCCAGCTTTGCTTCCCTCGATTCCTTGCATTTTTTCCTGCTCATTTTTGAGAAGATAAAATTTCCTGATTCCTGGTTGCTGGAAATGAACAGATCTTTCTACAAAGACACTTGGAACATGAGGTAGGTTCCATGGCTGAAGGATTGGTTTCTTTTCTTTTTTTTCCTTCTTCTATTTTGTTCATCAGTTTATTTTGTTCATTAGATTCCACATATAAGTGAAATCATATGGTACTTGTCTTTCTCTGACTGGCTTATTTTACTCATAGAATACTCTCCAGGTCCATCCATGCTGTCACAAAGGTTCTTTTTGTGGGTGAAAGTTGGGTGTGAAAACTGAATTTTGGGCATGATAGTCCTCCACAATAAACTTTTGGAGTCATTAAAAGGTTTTTGGGAAAAAGACTGTATTTGTGGAGGGGTAGCTCTGTTTTTTGTGGGGGGAGAGAGGTTGCAAAGGCAAATGAAATATAAATGGTTATCTGAGGGGTGAGAAGCCTGAGTTCTTTTTTGGTTACTCATACTTTAAAAGCTCCCCTTTTCCACTATGCTATTGAGAGTATATTTACTTCTAGGGTGCCAGCATGAGCAGAGAGCAAATAATCACCCCAGGTTTATTTTCTACCATTGAACAAAAGACAAAGAATCCCAGAATAATAAAAGTCTCTGTTCTGCCCAGCTGGCGTGGCTCAGTGGTTGAGCATCAGCCCATGAACCAGGAGGTCAGGGTTCGATTCCAGGTCAGGGCATGTGCCTGGGGTTTCGGGCTTGATCCCCAGTAGGGGGCGTGCAGGAGGCAGCCGATCAATGACTCTCATCATTGATGTTTCTCTCCTTCTCTTCCTCTCTGAAATCAATTTAAAAAAATATTTTTTAAAAAAGTCTCCCTGTTCCCAACCTTGGCAGATTGCTTCTTGTTTCTTTGTTGTCAATAAATCACAAATGAAACAAAACAACATATTAACCAAAAAAGGGTAACACTGTACCAAATGAGTTCCCTTCTTTGTGGAGAGGCCTCCTTGGCTCCTGAGGCTTTGCATGAGTTCAGACCTTACTTTTCTGAAATGCCTTTTCTTTGAGAAGCTTTACGCCCAAATGTCTCTTTGCTATTCTTTCCCATCTTTCCTTTTCAGGGACAAATCAAGAGAATTTAGACTTATTGTACACCTTCAACTTACACAATGTTATATCTCAATTTTAAAAAAAGACAAAAAGTGAGAAAGTAGTTTAAGCTCACGTGGTAACTTTGGGTTAGATATCAGAAAGAAATCCCAGCGAAGGAATGTGTGAGTTAGGGAGGTTCTGGACTTGCCTTTTTTGGTTTCTGTTTTCAGGTAAGGTCTAACTTTTTTGATTGATAAAGTAGAAATGCTGTACAAAGATATATTGTAATTAAGAAATGGCTTCTCAATGTTGCTGAAGCAATAATATATGGAACAGAATTTCAATGTGACATTTTTTAAAAAACATGTTCTCTGTTCACCACTGTGCTATGTGTTGTGGGGCAGGTAAAAGAGATACACTGTTCTTGATCGGAGGGAGTTAATTTTTTACAGTGTAAAAAAAAGAGGATATGAGAATTAAATTGAGCCATTACACTATATTTACGTGACAGAGAAGTTTGATAACAAGGACATCAAATGATTGTTTTTATTGTAGGACAGGAAAACAGAGATGGGACTGCTTTACGTGAGGGCGTAAACTGGAGACACTCAACGCGTGCACTGTGTGTCCCTCAGGCCTGGAGCCTTCTGTTGGGGTTAGTCTTGTCCTGTTATCCCAGAGTACTGGGAAAATATTAGCATTTTCTGCATGTGCCATGATATGAAATAGTCTGGGAAGTGCTGCCACAAATGGGTTTATGTGAGAATCTGAAAATCCAGAAGCTCTTGACTATATTGTCTAAGTCTTCCTAACAGGCTCAATGGCACGGATTATATATTCATATTTGAATTCCGAAGGATACCATGTTTTCTGGAAGCAACTATAAGAGGCATTTCAAGGAGGAGGGAGTGATTGACTGCATCACATGGGGCTGATAAAAGAAGAAAGATCAGGACTGAGCCCTGCCTATTGGGCTCCGTTTCGTGGAGATCACGGTGAACTCTGTCGTTTTGGTGAAGGGGTGGGCATGAGAGCCTTTGGGGCGTGGATTAAAGAGCGAAGGGAGCCTCGCCGGGCATCGCTCAGTGGTTGAGCATCGACCTAGGATCCAGGTGATCAGGGTTCGATTCCCGGTCAGGGCACATGCTCGGGTTGCGGGCTCGATCCCCAGTTGGGGGCGTGCAGGAGGCAGCTGATCAATGACTCCCTCATCATTGATGTTTCTCTCTCTCTCTCTCCCCCTCCTTTCCTCTCTCTGAAATCAATAAAGATATATTAAAAAAAAAAGAAAAAAAAGAAAGCGAAGGGAGAACTAGAGACAGTCCTGTAGATGACTCTTCTGAGGAACTTTGCTATAAAGGGAGTAGAGAAATGGGACAGAAACTGGATTGGGAGCAAGAATTTTTTAAAAAGAAAGGTGGAACTACAGCATGTTTGTATGCTAATACGAATGTCCGTTAGAAGGTACCAAGTGACATGTAGAAGGCAGCTGCTGCAGAGATGTCCTCAGGGAGGTGAGCCTGTGCCACAGTGGAGAGCCCTCTGCAGAAGCAGGAGAGGAGCGGAGTGCATGGGGACGTAGGGAGGCTGCGAGCCGTGGTGATAACAGTGGTGGACATTTTTTCCTGATTGCTTCAGTCTCTGTGAGATCCAGAGCGAGGCCAGTGTTTGAGAGTGAGGATGGAAGCAGAGAGAAGGGATCAAGTTGTGAATTCTGTATCTTGTTTGGTCATTTTCAGGAGTTCTCCGCCCCTGACCCCAGATGNGAGAGTGAGGATGGAAGCAGAGAGAAGGGATCAAGTTGTGAATTCTGTATTTTAAGAGTTTGTTTGGTCATTTTCAGTTCTCCGCCCCTGACCTCAGATCGAGAGGCCAAAGCATCATTGTGACCTGACAGGCGGTTCACTTGCCCTCATCTTTACCAGGTTATAGTCTGGGGGCTCTGGCCTGATAAAATAGCGTCTGCCAAAGTCCCTCCCTGAAGCCGATGGCAACCCTCCACAATGGACGCAACCGTTTAGAAACATATAGCAAATAAAGGACATCTTTTTGAGAAACTGTATCAGGGCTTTCCAGTTTGCATTGTTCACGTTCTAAGCATCAGGAATCAACTAGACCATAGACAATCTGCCTGCCTATGAAGAGAAGAATCAGGAAGATGCATTTGTTACATGAAAATTACATATGGAGGGGAACAGTGCTATTTTTAAAAGTCCTATTTATTTTTAATTTATTGATTTTAGAGAGAGGAGGGAGGGAGGGAGAGAGAGACATCAATTTGTTATTCCACTTACTCATTTATTCATTGGTTGATTTTTATATGTGCCCTGACTGGGTATTGAACCCACAACCTTGGCATATTGAGATGACACTCTAACCAACTGAGCTACCCAGCCAGGACCTTAGGTCCTATCTTAACATCTGCCTTCATCAAACAGTGAGAGCTGATAAGATCCATGGCCTTGGACTAGCATTACTAAATTTTCTTGTGACGTTTAAAGGGTCAAAAACGACCTTGACACGGTGGTTCTCAAACTTGAGCAGGATCAGTATTGCCTGATGGAGGGTTTGTTCAGCCACTGACTGCTGGGCCTCCTTCCCAGTTTCTGAGGCTGGGGGAGGCCTGAGTATTTGTATTTCTACAAGTTCCCAGGTGCTGCCGGGTTGCTGGGCCACATTTTGAGAATGATTGCCTTAAGAATTTGATTCCTTTAAAAAAAAAAAAAAAAGGGTCATATATATTTAAAAAATGCANGCTGCCGGGTTGCTGGGCCACATTTTGAGAATGATTGCCTTAAGAATTTGATTCCTTTAAAAAAAAAAAAGGGTCATATATATTTAAAAAATGCGAAAAGCATAGTTTATCTTCTTAAGGAGCTACGTATGTAATTTAACACTTTGTTTTGCTATCTCATGAGTACTACCCAAGGGAAAACTTTTTATTCATGCAGTGGCATATGATTAAAATCAGAACTATCAGGTAAAAGCAATCCCAGAAAATCCTCATTCCCTTTGTTATTTACCAAGTCAAAACGTCTCTGGTTTCTTGCAATGCAGGAGGTACTTGCATGGCATTTGCCTCCTTGATGACAGGTATCTTTTCCATGCAGATCAGAATCAAATGAGGAAAGCATACTCAACATCTGGTGAAGGGAACTTCCGCCAGTGGTGTTCTCCAAAGGAGAGGTGTTAGCAGGGGGCCACTAACCTGAACACTACTGGTTGGATGGAAACACACACCTTGAATTAGTAGATGGGGGAGGGGAGAGTAATGCCGTCCCTGGACTTCTGTTGGCATCTGCAGCACAGACTTGAGGACACAGGTTCTTAAACCAGTGTCTGGGTATGAATCCCAGTTGTTACTTAATAGCTTGAGCTAGTTATTTAACTCCATTCTGATTCAGTTTCCTTATCTGTAAAATAGGAATAATAATAGTCTTTACCTCACAGGAATATTATGAAGATTAAATGAGTTAGAATGAATAAAGTGCTTAGAATAGCACCAGGCACAAAGTAAATGTTAAATCTTAGCTCTCACTATCGGCAAACAAGGCTGCCTGTAAAACAAGCACCATAATACCTCTCAACAGTGTTACTGAGTCTTACGTTGCCTGCTAAGTGAAAGTATCAAGCAGAGTGAATGTGTCCTAATGAAGTCGGCTTTATCTGAAACCCACTGATCTTTTTAACCGCACAATTTTGGAGGCTTCTGGAGGGACAGTTACATAGTTGAAGCCACTTGTGCTAATGGTTCTCATCCAGGGTGATTTTGCTGCTGAGGGAACCCTTGGCAATGTCTGAACACATTTTTGTCACAACTAGGGGAAGGAGAGTTGCTAGTGGGTAGCAATTACAGCAGTTCCTCTTCCCTGTGGTTTTGCTTTCTGTGGTTTCAATTAACCACTGCAATCTGAAAAATATTAAATGGAAAATTCCAGGAATAAACAATTCATAAGTTTTAAGTTTTATGCCATTCTGAGTATCACGACGGAATCACTCATCCTCCTGCTCCTTCCCATCCAGGACACAAATCATCCTTGCTCAGGTATCTTCACTGTGTATTACCAGCCCCTTGGTCACTTAGTAGCTGTCTGAGTTATTAGATTGTTATGGTAGCACAGTGCTTGTGTTCAAGTAACCCTTATTTTAATTAATAATGGCCCCAAAGCACACAGGAGTGATGCTGGCAATTCGGATATGCCAAAGACGTTGTAAAGTGCTTCCTTTACGTGAAAAGGTGAGTACAGTACAATCAGGTATTTTTAGAGACACATTCACATAACTTTTGTTACAGCATATTGTCCTAATTGTTTGTTCTTGTTGTTGCCTAACTTAGAAACTAAGTTTTATCATATGCATGTAGGTACAGGAAAAACCAGTATATATAGGGTTCAGTCCTATCCAGTTTCAGGCATTCACTGGGGACTGGAACACATCCCTTTCGGATTAGGGGTGACTACTGAGTGGTAGAGGGTGGGATCCTCTTAAACATTAATGCACAGGACAAGCTACCACCCCAAAATTTAGCCCTAAATGTGCCAAAGTTGAGAAACTCTTTATTTGTGTTAATGTCTGGCATGAGATTAATACGTGGATGTTCCTCTTGGTTAGAGACCAAATCAGTGGTGTGCTTGAAATTTAACCACCTGTTTCTGCCCTTACCCCCAACAAAACCCTGACTGGCAGAAATTTGCCAATTTCTGTGGTGTGACAGTTCCCACCATGGCCCATTTCAAGTTACTGACTTTATGTCACTGACCATAGAATTAGGGAGAGACAATGTACCAAACCACTATCATTGACACAAGGGTTGGGGGGCCAGGTTGTCCACTGGATTCTTTTTTTTTTTTTTTTAATTTTATCTTTATTGATTTCAGAGAGAGGAAAGGAGAGGGAGAGAGAGACAGAAACATCAATGATGAGAGAGTCATTGATTGAGCCCACAACCCGGGGATGTGCCCTGACTGGGAATTAAACCCCCATCGCCTGGATCCTAGGTTGATGCTCAACCACTGAGCCACGCCTGGCCGGGCTGTCCACTGGATTCTTAAAATACTATTTACATCTGTCTGTACCTCCTGTTAGCTCCTAATGGTGTGCAGAGAAAAGGGTACAATTCTCTCTACTCTTCTCATCTTCCTCTTATTCAGTTTCTTTAGAGCAGGGGTGGGAAACATATGGCCCGCGGGCAAAAATAATTTGGTCTGGTCCTGCCAAGACAACTGTAGGCAGGACTTGAAATTCAATAAATCTAGGAGCTTTTCTCATAGCTAATTTTTAAGCTGATAATTAAAAAATATATGTATTTATTGATTTTAGAGAGAGGAAGGGAGAGGGAGAAACATCAATGGTGATAGTCATTGATCGGCTGCCTCCTGCACGGCCCCCACCTGGGATTGAACCCACAACCTGGGCATGTGCCCTGACCAGGAATTGAACCTCAACCTCCTGGACCATAGGGCGATGCTCAGCCACTGAGGCACACCGGCTGGGCTAAGGTGATAATTTTGCATGGCCTGGGAATAATGTTATAAATATCCAAATGGCCCTTGGCAGAAAAAAAGGTTCCCATGCTTGCTCTAGAGGTAGAATTGCTGAATTTGAGTTTAGCATGGGAATGAATAACTTAATGCCACGGTGAGTCTTAATTTTACAAGTAGAGACAAGGAAAAAAAAGGGGGGAGGAAGACAGGGCCTGGAGGAACAAAAAAAGGGAAAGGCTGGAGAAGAGTAGAGAGGGAAAAGAATAAGAAAAACTGAAGAAATAAGTGTGAGAAATAAGTGTCTACTGATCAAAACATTAAGACAAAAACAAAACAGAAAATGCAGAATACAATGTTAAAAAATACTATTATCCTGATAACACTCTCTCCCCTAACTCTGCATTCCCTCTCTTGACTAACAGCATCAACCACCTGGTCATTCAAGCAAGAAACCTGGGCGTCAACCCTGACTTCTCACCCCCCCCTCCCCACTTAGAACTGGACATGAAGTCCTATTAATTCTCCCATCTCCTCTCTGGCCCATTATCTGCCTCCTTGGCTCTCAACTTAATTCAGGCCCAATTTGTGGCCTAGATTATTCCAGTGGTTTCCAAATGGCTCTGCCTAGAATTCTAATTCTCCTCCACAGAATTATCAACCAGGCAAACTCCTGTCCAACCCTCAAGCTCTGTCTTAAGGGTCTGTTTCTCATGAAGTCTTGGGCATAGTTTAAATTTTCTTCCCCTGGGCCTTCACCTTGAACCATGCACACACTGTCCTCGGCAAACTACTGCAATCATGTTTACAGGAGTCTCTTTCTTATGGGAAGTGAGCTATTTGAGGGCAGAGACAATGTTTTTTTAAAAAAATCTTCAGGACCTAGCATTGTGCCTGACACAGAGTAGAAAACTAAAGCAATGAATAGTGTTAAATTTATGTTATATACATATATATATATATACAAACAGACATACACACATATATATAATTTATATTAAGGGCGAGGAAACACTGGGAAGAAAACACCTGTCGTGCAGCACTGATTGGATGGATGTTTTAAGCCCTTGTTCTTGCTTTTTTCGTGTGGTTTCCCTAATACAAAGTTAAAAATGGCCCCCAGGTATCCCCATAACCAATTACCCTTCCCCCCTTGGTTAAAAATACAGACTGATGCATAAAATGGATTACTATTTAGGCGTAAAAAGAAACGAAACATTAAGCCGTAAACAGGGCTAAGTCTCAAACCCTCCTGCCGAGGACGGCACAGGGAGAGGCTGCAGCGAGCGCGCCGGTCCCCGGGCGACCTCGCCCGCAGCGCAGCGCAGCGCAGCGCGCCAGCGTCTCTGCGGCTGTTCCCTCGCCTGCAGAACGAGGTGACAGGGCTGCCGCGGGAATCTGACGCCCAAGCGCTCAGTAGGAGGGGGCGCAGGCGGTCACTCCCACAGCTCTCCGCAGGGCTGAGCCTGGGCTGCCGCCCACCGCCCTCCCGCTCGCANCAGCCCGCCCCGCGCCCCGCCTGAGGCCCGCCGCCCTTCCCTCCGTCTCCTCTTGAAGCCCGGGTTCAGCACAATTCTAAAAAGTATACTCATCCGGAACAACCGGGCGATTAAAGAGAAACATTAGCTCGCCGTCTCACCACACAGTTAACCACTTAACATTTTGGCACACACGTTCTTAGGCACTTCACGCAAACACACCCATCTTTGTCTTTTCCCTCTTTTTCACTTAACAAACGTATGTCACACAAACGGACGGTTCTACAGCCTGTCCTTTTCCTCACCAAGGCCCG